ACAGAGGCCGGGCCAGGGCAGGGGTGAGTTCGGTGGAAGGTGAGGATGAGGACGATGGCGGCGAGGCTGACACAGGCGAAAGCCGAGCTCTGGGCTCCTCGGAGCTCGCTCTCCCGTCACCTGCTCCTGGGCGGGCAGTGGAGCGGGGCCTCCGGGAGGACGGTGCCTGCCAGGCGAGCAGCCAGGGACCGGCGTCGGGATTTGCACCCCGGTAGGCTGGGTGTTACCCAGAATGCCATGGGCCCCTGTTTAACAAAGGAGTCCTAAGAGGATGACCGTGGGGGGGTGGTAATCAAGAACTCTGTCCATCCGGCCGCTGTGGCTCAGTGGTTGAGCATCCACCCATGAACCAAGAGCACCTGCCCGGATTGCGGGCTTGATCCCCACTGTGGAGTGTGCAGGAGGCAGCCGATCAATGTTTCTCTCTCATCACTGCTTCTATCTGTTTCTATCTCTCTATCCCTCTCCCTGCCCCCTCCCTAAAATCAATATATATATATATATATAATATATATATGTATGTATATATATATATATGTATATATGTATATATATTTTATTATTATTATTATTATTATTTTAAGATCTGTGTCTAGATGGCATGTTTGGGAGTCAGACTGCTGGGCTCCAGGCCAGAGCACTCCTCTTCCTGCCCATGCCTCAGTTTCCCTTTCTGTGAGAGGCGAGCATGCGGCAGCCGTGTCCTCCGGGTGTGTGTGTCAGATCCCAGGGTGAGCCAGCCCTTGCGGGGCGGCCTTCAGTGCAGAGTGTCTGGCCGCCTCCTTGGGCGGAGGTACCGTTTGCAGAGGCAGAAGCTGCGGCTGAGGAAAGGCAGTGGTGGGAAAGGGTGAGGTAGGAGAGGCCAGGAAGCAGCCAGCCAGCCAGCTTCCCTTTCCCCTCCGGGCAGCACCAGGCCTCGGGCCAGGGGGCGTGGCCGGGGCGTGGCCAGCCCTGTCCACAGGGATAAAACCCCGGCACCTGCCGGCCCTGGGACAACTCAGAAGACAGGCTCCCTGTGCATCCACCCGCCCTCCTTCCACCCGTGGGTGGTCTGTCCAGCACGTCCACCAGCCCACCTCCGGCCTCCCCCTCGCTCTCCCGGCCCAGCTCCCCCGCCTGCAGCTTTCCCTCCCCCGCGATGGCCTCCCGGGAGCCCCTGCACGTGAAGACCCCGGTCCGAGATAGCATGGCCCTGACCAACGTGGCCGGCATCAAAGTCTACATCAAGATGGACAGTGCCCAGCCCTCGGGCTCCTTCAAGATCCGGGGCATCGGCCACCTCTGCCAGACGGTACGGGGGCTCCGGGGCAGGGGGCCGGTGCCCTGGGAAACCCAAGGAGCTCCAGGCAAGGCCCTCGGGCTGCCCACGAGGCCTGCACACCCACTCTCAGTGCTTCCTCCGGGGAAGAGGTGACCGGCACCAGGGTCCCCTCCGGGCTGGTCCCAGAGCTCTCAGCTGCCCACCTCTCCACCCCCTCCCTGAGCCGGGCTCCCTGGGGAGGGGAGATGCCGCTGGAGAGGCTGGGCAGTAAAGCTCCAAAACCATGCAGTCAGACTCCCCGGGGCCGGGTGGGTACGACTCCAGGGTAGAGGGGAGAAGCAGGGGCAGCCTGACCCCTGCCCTCATCTCCACAGAGGGCTGAGCAAGGCTGCAAACACTTCGTCTGCTGCTCAGGTAAGCGGCCTGACCCTTCTCCTGTTCTCTGCTGGGTGCCCCAGAGCCAGGCGCTCGCCCTCTCTGAGCCCTGCTCTCCCCAGACGGAAGCCCGATGCAAACATTTGCAGCCAGCCCAATTAGGAATTTCAGAGGGGAGGCCCGAGGTCACCCAGGGGTGGGGTTCAGAGGACAGGGGTTGGGCCCCTGAGGCCGTCCGGAACTGACAGGCTCTCTACCCGCCACCCCCCCGGCAGCGGGCAACGCGGGCATGGCGGCCGCCTATGCCGCCAGGAGGCTGGGCATCCCGGCCACCATCGTCGTGCCCAAGACCACGCCCATCCTCACCATCGAGCGGCTCAAAAAAGAGGGCGCTGAGGTCGTGGTGGAGGGCGAGGTGAGTGCCGGCCTGGAGCGGGGCCGCGGGGGGCAGCGGGGGGCGGAGGAGGGTGCCCCGGCAGCTCACCTCCGCCCACACCCCCCTCCCCCTGTGGTCTTGCAGACGCTGGAAGAGGCCCAGGAGCTGGCCACGGCCCTGGCGAAGAACCCCGGCTGGGTCTTCATCTCCCCCTACGACGACCCCCTCATCTGGTACATGGAGCCCAGGGTGGCAGCTGCCTCCTGACCACTGGGTGGGCGCCTGCCACAAGGCACGTGGGCACACTGTCATGCACAGAGGTAGCACACGTGTGTGTGTGTGTGTGTGTGTGTGTGTGTGTGCGCGCACACCATCACCCCGAAGCACACACACGTGTGTGTTCCAACGGCCGTCCTCCACGGGCGTGAGCAATTGTGAGCTCAGATGCCCAGGTGCTGGCCTCTGGGTGCCGGGGAGCAAGTCCCGGAAGCAGGGCTCCGGGGAGAGCTGTTGGCTTGGGAGGTGATTCCCGAGCATCAGGAGGGGGAAGGGGGACGAGGCAGGAGAGACGCCTCTCGGGGGCTCTCCTGGGCAGGGCCCTGCGGTGGCAGCTGGATCTTGATTTCCTGGGCCCCTGAGAGCCCGGGGAACGTGAACTGGTTACTCAGCAGGAGAGGATGCTGGGAGTTTATTCAGTGGAAGGTGAACCAGTTACTCGGTGGCAGGAGAGGATGCTGGGAGTTTATTCAGTGGAACGTGAACCAGTTACTCGGCGGCAGGAGAGGATGCTGGGAGTTCATTCTGTGGAACGTGAACCAGTTACTCAGCGGCAGGAGAGGATGCTGGGAGTTCATTCAGTGGAACGTGAACCAGTTACTCGGCGGCAGGAGAGGATGCTGGGAGTTCATCTACCCGCACACCAGTCTTCGCTCACACAGGCCCTGGGCGAGGGGTGTTCTCAGGGCTGAGAACAGCCAGGAGTCACACACACAGAGGCAGCTCCGGGGGCCCACGGGAGCCTCCGGGCAGAGATGCAGATGCTGGCAGCTGGGAATCAGGGTGGAGTCGGGGAGGAGGCCAGCCCCAAGGACAAGCGACAGTGCCAGTGGTATCTCCAGGACCCTGCTTAGTGCCCCCAGGGCCCCAGCCCTGACCCGGTGCCCCCCTCCCCTCAACCCCCACCCTCCAGGGAAGGCCACACATCCATCGTGAAGGAGCTGAAGGAGACCCTGAGCGAAAAGCCGGGGGCCATCGTGCTGTCAGTGGGCGGCGGTGGCCTCTTGTGCGGCGTGGCCCAGGGGCTGAAGGAGGTGGGCTGGGGGGACGTGCCCATCATCGCCATGGAGACCGAGGGAGCCCACAGCTTCCGCACCACCGCCTCAGCTGGCAAGCTCACGCCCCTGGACCGGATGACGAGGTGAGAGAGGACTATCAGGGGTTCAGCAGTCCCCTGGTGCTGGCTGCAGGTAGATCCCGGTGCCCCATTTTATAGGTAGGGAAACTGAGGCTGCCCAGAGCCACACAGCCAGTGAGTGATCCTGCTGGGACTGAGCCCGTGTGTGCATAGCCCTGAACCATGAACCTCACACTTCCTCTTGCAAAAAAGACTAATATTCATCGTGTACGGAGTTCCTCTGTGGCAGGGTTTTGCACTCTTCATTACATGTTTTAATATATATCTTTATTGATCTCAGCGAGGAGGGGAGAGTGAGAGACAGAAACATCAATGGTGAGAGAGGGTCATCGATCGGCTGCCTCCTGCACACCCCCCATAATCGAGCCCACATTCTGGGCATGTGTCCTGACCGGGAATCAAACCGTGTCCTCCTGGTTCATAGGGGGATGATCAACCACGGAGCCATGCCAACTGGGCTGCACTCTTCATTCATTTGCCAGCCATTTCCTGAGCCCCTAACCATGGGCGAGACCCCGGCTGATCCCGGCGAGAGAGGCGGATAGACGCCACTCCTGCTCCCAAGGAGTTCACATCCCAGCCCAAACTTTTGGCACGTGGTATTCAATTAGGATCAGGTTGGGCTGCTTTATACAAAAACCCAAAAAGCCATTTAAACAAGACTGAATTTTATTTCCTCTCTTATGAACAAAAGAAAAGCTTAGAGGGAGGCAATCCAGGGGCAGCTCTAAGAAGCCAGGGGCCCAGGTCCCCTGCATTTGTTCCCCGCCATCCTTAGCGTGAGCCTCATGGGCCAAAAGGGCTGCCTATGTGCCAGCTCTCACACCCACCCTCTCTCTGGCAGGAAGGGGGAACCAGGGCGGAAGCTATGCCCCTCCCTTTAAAGGCAGACGCAATACTTCCACTTTCCTTTCCTTGGCCAGAGCTTAGTCACATGGCCACACCTGCTGCAAGGGAGGCTGGGAAATGTCTTCCTACCAGGTGTCCCTGGGTGCAGCCAGAATAGATGTAGGGTAGACAGGTCTCTGCCACCGATGGGGCAGACTGAGCCCAGGTGGAAACTCCTTCTGGATTCCTGGGTCCAGCACCCCGGAGCTGTAGGTGGTGGGAGTGAAGGAGTCATTGTTGAACACCTACTATAGGCCGTGGGCTGGCCTAAGGGCTGGCCAAGGTGGTCCGGGCAAGGAGATGCTCGTGGGCGAGTGGGGAAATGAGCAGGGGACGGAGCCAGTGGGGTCTCCGGGGAGGCTGATTGCCAGGGCAGGTCCTGGAGGTATACGGGTCCTGTTTGCAGTCCCAGCACCACGGCTCCCTGGCCAAGTGCCAGCACACACCCTGCCTCAGTCTTCCCTTCTATAAAATGGAACCAACGAACTAACCACAAAAGTTGTTGTGAGAATGAACGGCACCAAACGCCTTCTCAGGAAGTGGTGTGTGTGTGTGTGTGTGTGTGTGTGTGTTATGGGGAGGGCCATTTGAGAATTCCGCCTGGGGCCACGGGACTGAGTGCTCCCCCTGGAGGAGGCAGCCTTCTTCCTGAGCCTTGGAGGACAGGACGGGACTTGGGCGGGTGAAGGTGACACGGGAGCTGAGGGTGGGAGTCAGAGAAGCACCAGGGGCCTTGCAGGGGTTTGGTCAAGGTGAACAAAAATGATTCCACTGACCCCATCCCAACAATCTTATTAGAAGACCCCGCTGTGTGGGGGGAAGCCCTGGGACTGTACAGCTATAAAGGGCACCCCATCCCCACCCCCACCCCCTGCCCACGGACCCCAGTTCTTCCTCCCTTTCACATCCAACTTTGTCTTTCTCTCCCTCTCCATTCGGATCTCCACTTCCCTCCCCTCCTCTCCGACCTCCGTGTCCCCCATCCCCGTTCTCCCCGCCCACCTCCCTCCAGTGTGGCCAAGGCTCTGTGTGTGAGGACCGTGACGGGCCAAGCCCTGAAGCTGTTTCAGGAATACCCCATTATCTCGGAAGTGATCTCGGACCAGGAGGCTGTGGCCGCCCTTGAGAAGTTTGTGGGTACGTGCCAAGTCCTTTTGAGACCCAGGAGCCAAGTGGCTGTCCTGGCTACTTGGTATGCCAGGGGATTCCAAAACTGCGTGTTTACCCACAGTTCAGTCTCCCCTCCCTTCCTAGGACTCCCCATTGAATACAACGCCATAGTATTATAAAAACAGGAAGGCCAAAGGCACAAGTGAAGCCTGATGTCCCTGACAGCAGTGGGATAATAACTATTTTTAAGTGTTGGTCCTGAGCTTCCTGGCAGCCATGGTGAAAAGGGAAAGTCTAGGCCTCAGTGATAGGTTCAGAATTGGGTCTGTAACAAGGTTGGGCTCTTTCTGGGTTCAGCCTAGGATAGGAGGGCGTGAATACACACACACACACACACACACACACACACACACACACACTCGGTAGCACTGAATGCTGTCCCAGCAGTCAGCTTGGCTAATCAACCACAGCACACTGGCTCAGATGAGGCCTCAGAACCCTGCTCCGCGCACACTGCCCAGGCGATTACCACCATTTCATCAGGGTCAGCACCAGTGAGGACACCAAGCTCAGGGCATGGACGGCCAGTCCCGGACAGTGAGGGAAGGACCTGCGGGGGTGGCCAGGGCAGAGAGCGGACTGGCTCCCCCTCGCCCCCCCTCTCCCCTCCTCCGTGAGCTTGACCAGGCACCACCCCCCCCCCCCGCCCTGTCCCCTCCCCCCTTCCCCCCCGCAGACGACGAGAAGGTCCTGGTGGAGCCGGCCTGCGGGGCGGCCCTGGCAGCCGTCTACAGCGGCGTGGTCCAGAAGCTGGTAGGGGAAGGGAAGCTCCACACCCTGCCGTCCTCCCTCGTGGTCATCGTCTGTGGGGGCAGCAACATCAGCCTGGCCCAGCTGCAGGCCCTCAAGAAACAGCTGAGCATGAAGTGACGGCCCGCCCGGCCTGGGGACCCCTGCGGGGGCTGCTTCCCCAGCACCTCACTGTACACTTCACTCTCGTGTCTGGCCACGGGCCTGCGGCCAGGCCGGTCGGTGCTTGCTTGAGGGCCACACGCTTCGCAGTGGAGGCGGGGGCGGCCGGTGAGGCTGGGACTGGTCCCCTGCCGCTCTGCCATCGTCCTCAGCCACCCCCCTGCCAGGGCGACACTGCCCACATGTAGCATACCCGGCCCCCGGGGCAGATGGGCGCGAGGCCCCCCAACTGGAGAGGTGGCTCTCCGGCTGGGGAGGGGGACAGGCCCGCAGCCCAGGCTGAGGAGCCACCTTTATTTTACTCCCGGGAAGCCCACCCCCCCACCCACCCTCACCCATTTTTCTAATGTGCACACGTTTTCACTGAAAAAAAAGAAAAAGGTATTTATGAAGCAAAGAGCCCCTGAGTGTTCTCCATCATCACTGGCTTTCCCTCTTCCCTCCTCCCACCCCATCACGCCTGCTCCCAGCCCTGCCATCTATCAGCAGGGAGCACCCCCAGCCGCCACCCCGGGCCCAGGAACCTGGGACCCCACGTGAAACTCACTCAAGACCCCCACCCCCCGCCCCCTTGCACACCAGAGGGCGGGAAGCCGGTGGGAAACGTGGTGCTGAACCAGAAGGGCTTGGGGGGGGGGGGGCGAGGGAACAGAATGGTTTAGTCCCAGAACCTCTGGGAGCAGGTGGGGAGCCCGGGGTGTGTGTGGGGGGGGGGAGTACAGACACTGGGCATCGTCTCAGGGACAGGAAGGGAGGGGATACGAAGTCAGTGTCAGGCAAACCCTCCAGACCACATGTGTCAAACACAAGGCCCGCGGGCCAAACCCGTCCCGCCAGGCCTTGCAATGTGGCCCGCACCGCGCTGTCATCACTGCACTCCGCTGCGTTTCCATCACAAGGACAGTTTATGACTGTTCAGTAAACCATTCGGCCCGCGATGTAGGCTGGATTTTAGATTTTGGCCCCTTCTCTGATTGAGTTCGACACCCCTACCTAGAGCGACGATCTTATGAGAAGACCCCACTCAGTTTGGGAAGCCCCGGGACTGTACAGCTATAGAGGGCACCCCCACCCCCACCGCATGCCCACGGCCCCCAGTTCCTCCTCCCTTCCACATCCAACTTCGTCTCTGGAAACACGCAGCCCTCTCTCAAGGCGGCGGGGGCCAGTGGGTAAAAGAGGAGTCTCGGGGGCTGGGAGGGGCCCCCAGCACCCCTCAGGAGTGTTCCGGAACCACCTACAGCAGCCACTGGCCACCTGACTGGGTCCCCAAGTTCAAAGCCAAGTTTGAGACCACTCTCATCTCTCAGGACACCAGGCAATGAGCCCAGGCTTGCAGGGCCGCCCCAACAACAGAGGCGGAGATTGGGGAGGAGTGGAAAAGACCCACCCTCAGCCCCGCCCCCCAGCCTCAGGCCTTCCGATCTCCACGTGTATTTTAAACACCCAGGGAGGCAAGCATCCTCAGCCCCGCAGCCCCAGAACAGTCCCTAGGGTCAGAGTGGAAGGAACGTGGTGCCCAGCCCGGAACCCGGTGCCCAGCCCGGAACCCTGCCCCGGGGGGGGGGACAGCTTCCAGCTCCCACGGTCCCGCTGGGTCAGGCACGAAACCCCCACGAGGCCAGGCAGCCCCCTGGGCCCACCAGAGGAGGGTCCGAGGTGCAGGGGGCGGGGCCGACCAGCTGCCAGGCAGCTGTCCACCAGGGAAGGGCAGAGGCCACGGACGAGCAGCAGCTGCCGCTGCGGAGCTGAGGATTGTGGGAAACTCCGGGGCACCGGGGCTGAGAGAAGCGGCCTCTCTGGCAGCCCCTGCAGAGGTGGGTCCTGTCTTTGCGGGTCAGCGGGGGCCCCAGTGGGCCACCAGGCGTGGCGCCCCAACCTCTGTTCAGAATCACCCCAGCCACATGGCCGTCCCGCCTCCCAGGAAGCAGAGGGGCCAGAATCACGCCCGGAGTCGCCCCTTCCCACACAACGGCCCTGGGGGACCCCCCCTCCCCGAGCCTCCCAACCTTGACCTCCTCCAGACCGAGTCTCGGCGCCTGCGTGCCCGTGTTATTTACTGCGTTGACTCCCTCAGCACCATAAGCCTCCTCCGGAGCGGAGACTTCTCTGTGCCTCCGTTGTAAGGCAGCCACGGGGTCGTACGCAGGCCCTGGCCTGTGCTAAGTAAGACCTGCTGGTGAGTGAATGGTGAGCGGTCACAGCCACCACTGCAGCGAATCTTTACCGCCCCCCCCCCCGCCCCCCCCCCCCCCCCCCAACTGCCGCTCACAGCCTCACCCGGTTTACAGAGGGGATGACCAGGGCTCAGAGAGGTGAGGCCCATGGCCAGTACGAGATGGAGACAGGACTTGAACTCGGGTCTCTGACTCCAGAGCCTGTGCTCTCCTCTCCCCACGCACACAGCACTGGGCGAGTCTCATCTCCGATGTAGGTTTCTGAACAGACAGGGCGGGACTCTGTTCTATGTCACTCTGTGCCCCACAGAAGGACTGGGAAGGTCTTGTGGTTAACAGGTCCCAGAAAGGGGACAGAACAAAGTAGGTGCGCGATGGGTACCCGTGGATGGACGGGTATATGGGTGGATGGATGGATGGATGAAAAGGTATATGGGGGGATGGATGGGTATATGAGTGAATGGATAATGGATGAATAAATGGATGACTGGAAAACAGATAGAAAGGTGGGTGGGTGGGTGATATATGGGTGGATGAATGGGTGTGGGTGAAGGGATGGATGGGTATATGGGTGGATGGATAGGTAAATGGATGAATGGATGGATGGATGGATGGATAGATGGGTATATGGGTGGATGGATGGGTATATGGATGGATGGACGGATAGATGAGTATATGGGTGGATGGATGGGTATATGGATGGATGGATGGGTATATGGGTGGATGGATTATGGATGGATAAATGGATGACTGGAAAACAGATGGATAGAGATGGGTGGGTGGGTGATATGTGGATGGATGGGTCTGGGTGGATGGATGGATGGATGGATAAATATGTAGATGGACAGTGGGTGGGTGGGTTGGAAATATATGGATAGATGGACAGACAAAAGGATGGACAGGAAGCTGCATGGAGGGCAGTGCAGATCCCAATCCTGAGAAGAGAAAAGGCCGGACGCAGCCTTCCCCACCGCCCGAAAGCACCACACGGGGCACGGCCTCTCTCGTTTAATCGTCACAGCCTGTGAGCTGGCACCTGCAGCCAGGATCGTGGGCACTGCCTGAGGCCTGGGCACCCCCATCGGGGCGGGGCGCGAGGCTGGAGCAGGCGCGACACGCCGGCCTGGTCCTGGAGCGAGGACCCTCGGCCTCGGCCACGGTCGCCAGGAACTTTGGTTTGTGCTTGTTCGTTTCTGTCCAGGAGAAAGCTGTCCAGCGGGGACACAGCTGCTTCCGAGGGGGCAGAGGAGCTGGGGCCGGGGATCGCCGCCGGCCACCGGGAACACCCAGGCCTCGGGGTGAAACCCACAGGGCCCCCAAGACCTGGTCCCTCCGCAGGGGCAGCAGGGGGCGGGAGGGTGGGTGAGAGAGAAGCAGAGAAAACAGAGAGAAACGGAAAAGAAGGAGGAGGTGTAGAGGCAGAGGAGACAGAAATGGCACCGGCTCCTGAGGGGGAGTCAGTCCCGGGCCCCACCCAGGAGAAGGTGCCCAGATGAGCAGGAACTGGCAGACCGGGGTCCCAGCTGTGGGCACAACAGGGGGCAAAGGCCACGGACGGGGCGAGCAGGCGGTCAGTCCCAGGAGACCTTGACGGGCGAGAACTTCCAGAGGTCGGGCTGGCCCATGTGCAGCAGGCCGCAGAAGGGCGAGGCGCTCCACTGGAAGGGGGGCACCTGGTCCCAGGTGGGGCCGCCGACGGCCACCAGGCCCAGGGCCTTGGCCAGGGCCACGCTGGTCACCTGGGGGCCGGGGCAGAGCAGACGGCCGCCTGTCAGCCAGGCTGGGCTCCACGCCACCCCGACCCAGGCCCCTGGCACCCGCCCCCAGCCCGATGTGGACCCTGACTCCGCCCTGCCACCTGCGTTGGCCCAGCCTGCCCCCCGCACCCTCCGCAGCCATCGTGGTGACCGAGCCCACCCACGGCGCAGACCTTGGCATCGATGCCCCCGTGGGAGCGCTGCTGCAGCGCCTGGAACGGGTAGGAGCCGTTGGCCGGGTTGAGGTCGGAGCGCGCCGAGATGGCGTTCTCCCCGTTGGGCTGCGGCCTGCAGGCCTTGCACAGTGACAGGGGGTCGTGCAGGAAGTCATTGTACCTGGATGGGGGGAGGGAGGGAGGGAGGGGCCGGTCGTGATGGGAAGAGGTAGGGGGTCAGGGGTTCGGGGGGCGGTGAAGGGGAGACTGAACTCCTCCCAGCAGCAGCCCCAGAACCTGCTTCCAATGAGCAGGCCCATCCCGCCGCTGGGGTCCCTCACCCCTGCACCTCATCGCCCCGCCCTCGGCCCTCCATCCTCCGAGGAGAGACCCCCTCTTGTCCCACCACAGCCTCTCTGGGGACTGACAGTCCCGTTACACATCCGCGTCCGCGTGCTCGGGGGATCGCTACGTCACGGACGGGGCGGCCCGGGGAAGGGGGTCACACAGCGGCCGGTCAGGGTCCTGCCCGTAAGGGGCGGCCGGTGGCGGGGCTCACGCTGAGTGTGGGTGTGGCCGCACCCCTGCCCGCCCGGGCGTGCCAAGAGGCCTGAATGAGTGACAGCGAACAGCACAGAGCGCGCCCCGTGACTCCAGCTCACCCCCGCCCCCACCCACGCACCTGATCAGCCGGATCATGGAGTCCACGTCGTGCACCAGCGACTGGTCCCGCCGGAAGATCTGGGCCCGAGGGTTCCTGTCGTAGGAGAACCAGTCCCCGTACTGGGCCACCAGGCCCGGCAGCCCGCTGGCGTTGAACACGGACTCGAAGGACCTGCCGGGGGTGAGAGCGGGCACTCGTGGCTCCCGCTGGCCTCGCCCAGCCGGGCCGGGAGGCGGAGGGGCGGTCAGGACAGCACCACGATGGCCTGTGTGTGCTGGGGGGCGGCCTGGCTCAGGCTCAGGGAGCCCGAGAGCCCTGCTCCCCACCCCGGCGTCACCACCACCCAGCTAGGGAGCCTTGGGAAGGTGAGGCGCTCCCTCGGGGCCTCAGTTTTGCCCTCTGTGAAATGGGAACAGGACCCAACGACCTCCCCCAGGTGAAGCCCAGTGAGGTCCCGAGGGGATGGAGGAGCAGCCAGTTAAAGGGACCCCATCCCGGGAGCCCTGGCAGGGTCAGCGCCCCCCCACCGGCTCACCCCCTCACCCATAGGGATGCTGACTTCAGCACCACTCTGTGCCCCGCGCGGCCAGAGGAGGGTGGGGCGGGTTTAAAGAATCAGGTGGGCAGGGCCCCTGGCAGCGGGGAGAGCTGAGCGAGGGGGCGGGGCGGACGGGGTTTGGGGAGGGAGGAGAGGGACACCTACGGGATGTTGTAGCTGGCCCAGTAGGTCTTCTCATAGAGCTCCGCGGTCTTGTCGGCCACCACCACCATGCCCCTGGGCGGGAGGAGGGCGGGCGGTGAGGAAGGCTCCTGTGGGCTCTGCCCGCCCCAGGCCCGGCGGCCCCACTGCCCAGAGGCAGGTTACGCCCTGAATCGTGATTCCCATCAGGGCTGCCTCCCCTGCCAGCCTCGCCCTCCTCAGACTTCCTCTCCCCACACGCTGCAGCCCCCGCCCCAGGGCACTCACGGGATCTGCTCCAGGACGGTGAGCACCCGGCTCCCGGGGCTGGGCCCGCCCGGCACGAACACCTTGT